CTCGCTGCCCGCCTGGGGCTGCGGGCCCCTCCGGGTTGGGGTCGCCCGCGCCTGGCCCTTTGTTGGCCCTGAGCTCCAAGGATTTCCTTTTCTTCTTCCTAACGTGTCCTGCTTTCCCTGCCACCTGCTTTCCTTACTTATCGTGCACTTGCTTTCCCTGCCACTCACCCCACCCACATCAACACAGTGGTGGAACTGGCAGGACTCAGGGGGCCTGGGTGTCATGGGGGAGCTTAGGAACAGAGGGTGGTTAAACAAAGGAGGAAAAAAGGCATGCGTTGGGTAAATATTTACTGAGGCCCTTTACTGTACCAGACCTGCGTGTTCAACTCCCTGGGAAAGGCTTTGGAAATAGTAACCCACCAGCCTAAGGGGGCCGCTGGGGAGCAAGTAATGCCAGGTGATTTATCTGGGGTATCCTATTTATCTTCATAGCAACCCCATGAAACATACCATAGCTCCATAGTACAGTTCCTATTCCTCTGTGGGTTCAGGAAAATGGCAGCAGTTCCAGGCAAAATTCACAGTCCAGTGCTCTACTCTAAGGTGTATCTTTCCCCGCTGTGAGGTCAATATTTTTTGAGTTCACTCCTATACCAATTCAATAATTTCTTCCCAATTTAACAAAGCCTGGAAACCTATCAAGACTCCTGCTATCACCTCATCCAACATTACCTTCAGGTTGGTTGCTAAGGAAGTAAATGTTTAGGGACACAGAACTAAATGTAATTGGTGAAATGCACTACTTAATACACTGTGGCTCTACCCCCCACACGTGCTACGGCTGTCATTTGGATCTCATATTCGGTGCAGTCATTTGAGAAGTTTGTCTCTTCAAAGACAGTGACTGATCTGAGACTGGAAATCTGCCCCACTGATGGTTATCAAGCGGTGGACAGTAACTGGGGGATGTTCCCCAGATCTGTTGAGTCCTAGAGGCTCCAACACCACACGTGAAATGTGGATAAGTTAACAGAGAACTGACCTGTATTCACTCTGAAGGACTTTTGGGAGTTCAAATTGCTCAGGGTACCATCCTTCTTGCTCTTAAAGTTGGTTAGAATTATACAAGAAATCTAAGTGATCTAGACCGACCCTTTTACTCATAAAGGAGGAAATAGGCCGGGAGATAAGAACTAGCAAGGTAAGGTTAGGGTATGGCTGGACGGGGTGAGGGTGGAGAGGTGCAGGACAGGGAGGCGCGCAGCACTGCCAGGGCTGGCAAGCCGGAGGTGCATGCCGGCAACCCGAGTAGATCCGAGTAGATGCAAAGAATTGCAACACACAGAGGTGAGAGAAGAAAAGACTTATTTAAGAAAAGTTCACCTCCCACAGACAGGGAGTGGGCCTACACTGTAGGTGAGTGTGGCATTGTGGCCTCCCAGAGTCCTGGCTTAAGTCCTTCTCTTGGACATGTTGCACATGACTGCCGTGACTGCTGTGACTTTCTTATCAACCACCTGTGGATGTCTTGGAGAACCTGTGACACAGAGACCCATTAATGTTCACCCACATTATCATAGCCCCTAGAGAAGGGCGTGACAAGGATTCTAATTCTCCTGCACCTTCCCAAACGACATTCCTTAGAGCTAGTGGACGGTGCACTTCCCCTTATCTCCTAGGCATTCCCAATAGGTAGCTTTGGGGGATCTTTGGCTTCCCTGTAGACAGTGCCCAATTTACGGAAGATCGAATCCCCACCTGCTCTCCCTCTGAGCGGTTATAACTTTTGTAATTACAAGTTTCATTACTTTTACAATCCTTGCCCAATGCATGATGTTTTAGGCCTTGTAAATTCCCTTTACTCTAGGCAAACTTGATTGCCTCAGATACCTCAGATACCTGGAAGTCTGTTTCTGAAAAGACAAAATCGGTAAAGTTAATTATACCTAAAGTGTGCATTTCTCCAAAAGCACAGCTTCTATTTTCTCATCATTGTGTCAGGGTTTAAGAACAAGATGAAAAATGGCTTCCCACTCTCGGTCTGTCCTTTTAGTAAGGCGTAGAGTCAGGTCGGCTAACTCCCTACATGGAGTTTATTCCCTGAACTCATCATCTACACTCACAAGGTTCTTGAGCCTGACCCCAAATCCTCCCTCCTTCTGTTCCTTCTAACACAAATGTGAACCTTAGCCTGAGTAGGGAAACCAGAGAAGGCATCAGCACCACCTTAAAATGGCTAAATTTATGTCCTAAAGTGGCTTAAATTATATCTAAATAACATACACTGAACTGTTCCCCTTTCGAAGCCATCAGAAAATTATAGTTCCATTTTAAATGTCCTTTGAAAATGGTACTCTTCCTTTGTTAGGAGATAGTCTGGAATTTGCCTTATCTGATAAAAAGAACTAGAAGCATCAGAGAACACCCTAGGATAGGGCCTCTCAACCTACACTGGAGCTCCAAATCCTGGTGTAGTAAGAAGTCTTCTGGACAGAGCAATTCTTTCTGAGCCCCTCTCCTACTATGTGCTGATATAGTCAATATGGTAGGAAGGCTTGTAAGAAGCCTTGTCCATGAGTTACTTGAAAGTGACTATACTAAAAACTAGAAAGTCAAATCAGGAGAACGTAATAAAGTAAAAACTCCATGGAAAGAAATTGTGTTTAGTATAGCTTAAATTTTGTGTTTTCCTCTGTGCTTTACATGTTCAGATAAACTTTGTAACAAACAATAGAAATTATTTTTGAAAATATAGTATTTGGTCAGGCTTGGTGGCTCAGCCTGTAATCCCAGCATTTTGGGAGGCTGAGACGAGTGGTTTGCCTGAAACTGAGGGTTTGAGAACAGCCAGGGCAACTTGGTGAGACCTCGTCTCTACAATAAATAAATAAATAAAATAGCTGGCCGTGGTAGCACACGTGCCTGTAGTTGTGGCTACTGGGAAGGCTGAGGCAGAAGGATCACTGGAGCCCAGCAGGTCAACGCTGGGGTGGCCTTGAGCATGCCACTGCACTCCAACCTGGACGACAGACTGAGACTCCAACTAAAAACAAAAAAGGAAAATAAAATATTTTTTTGAAAAATGGAGACAGGATCTTGCTATGTTGCCCAGGCTGGTTTCTAACTCCTGGGCTCAAGTGATGTTCCCAGTTGAGCTTCCCAAGTGTCAGCCCAAGCAAGCAGGACTCCTGCCTTGGACACCTAGCCTGGCCCTCCTCTTAACACAACACACCCATTTTAGTTACGTTCCTGGTGGACCAAGGAAACATGCTCCCTCTGCTTTCTAGAACACACTTGGAAGGAAGGACTCCGAATCCCCAGTGCAAATGGCCTCAAACCTGATTGAGGAGAGTGGAGCAGTTTTTTATGGCCACTCAGAGGGAGTTGTTGAGGTTAGCATCTGTAGGCCTGGGGGGGAAGGGGGTGGGCAGATACAGGAGCTTGGCCTGAGGTTTATGCCCACAAGACTCCTCTCTGTGCCAGATAGGACAAGATGCTGCATGGGTGTGCCACATTTGTTAGCGTGATGTAGCACATTTAAATATTTAGGCCTGTGGCATGTGGGCCTCCATTTGTACCCTTGTCGCAGGCCCTGAAAATGACAGGGGTGGCCTTGTAAATAGTAGGGTTTTCCTAAAGGTAAAAAAAAAAAAAATACTGTTTGGAGAAGAGGAACTTTAAGTATTAGAAGTTTTTTTCCCTTGGATGTTTATCCAGTGTCATGGAACTTTCTAAAACCTTTTCAACTTAGACGACAGAGAGAGAGAGAGAGAGAGAGAGAGAGAGAGAGAGAGAGAGAGAGAGAACTTTTTTCATTTCAAAGATGTGGAGTAAATTCAGGATTAGGTGTACAAGTTGTCATCATAAAGGTAAAGTTTGGGCCTCCCTTTGGTCTCCACTTTGCCTGATTTGAGATCAGGTACGCTTATTGATATTGTGTCTACCCCACCCACAATCACCCCAGCCGTACCCTGCTACTGCCATTCCTTTTTTATAGTATCATGGTAAATGTTCAGGGTCCACTTATGAGTGAGAACATGTGGCACTCTGTTCTTTGTTTCTGTGATAGATCATTGAGTATAATAGACTCTCAATCCATCCAGGCTGCTGCAAAACCTTTGAGTGTATCCTGTCTTTCTTACTCCTAGACCATTTTCTCTTCAGTTGCTGGTTACAATGGCAGTAACATTCCATGTACATTGGCTTTCTCTCAGAATCCAGACTCTGAAAGGGCACAGAGTCACTTAGGGGAGTGGGAAGAGATTGTGGCTTGAGCTGACTTTAAAAGATATGGCTGGGTAGAGGGGAGAATCCTGGACACTCTGGATAAGTGTCTTTCATTTAAATGTCTG